GATCCCCTGACTCCCTGATCAATGATTCCCTGATGGGTTCCCTGACCGATCCCCTGATCAATCCCCTGATCAATGATTCCCCAATGGATCCCCTGATCGATGCCCCGCTGTCCCCTGCCCAGGCCATCATCAACAGCACCATCACCCCCAACATGACGTTCACCAAGACCTCGCAGAAGTTCGGGCAGTGGGCTGACAGCAGGGCCAACACGGTGTACGGGCTGGGCTTTGCCTCCGAGCAGCACCTGAGCCAGGTGAGAGCTGGGAACCTGGGAAACCTGGGATCCTGAGCCAGGTGAGAGCTGGGAACCTGGGATCCTGAGCCAGGTGAGCTCAGGAACCTGGGAAACCTGGGATCCTGAGCCAGGTGAGAGCTGGGAACGTGTGCCAGGTGAGCCAGGAACCTGGGAAACCTATGGGAACCCTTCCCCTGGAGAAACCCCTCCAGAAGATCCTCAGGCACCTGCTGAGTGCTGTTCTCACCGGGCTGGGATGGAATTCAAGGTGCAAAAGTTCCAAAAACAGCTTAAAGTTGTGTTTGCAGAGGGGTTTGGGCGCCACAAATGGAGCTGGGGCTGCTTCTGTGCTGAGCCCACGGCCCCGAGTGCCAAACTGAATTAAATCACTGGCTTTTGGTGTTGGAGAGAAATTCAGAAGTGTTTTAAATGAGGCTGCAGGAAGAGCATCACTATATATTTATATAATATATAATAAATATATAATATATAATATATAATATATAATGTATAATGTATACTGTATAATATGTAATATATAATGTATAATGTATTGTATATTTATATAATATTTCTATGATATAAATATAGTTTGTATTATATTACTGCACTGGCCCCCAGCCCCAGGGTGACTCTCCCTTTCCCCTGCAGTTTGCAGAGAAGTTCCAGGAGGTGAAGGAGGCAGCTCGTGTGGCCAGGGAGAAATGCCAGGACAAAACTGAACTCACCAACCCTGCCCTGAGCCTCCCTTCCCACCAGGTGAGGCTGGGGAATGGGGAGGAAAGGGGAGGAGAAGGGAGGTGACCCTGCTGGAGGTGCCCACCTGTCCCTGTCCTTGCCCCCAGGTGCTGCCCAGCTCCATCCTCATCACCTGGCCTTCCTCCCAGCCCCATCCTCATCACCTGTCCTTCCTCCCAGCCCCATCCTCATCCCCTGTCCTTCCGCCCAGCCCCATCCTCATCACCTGTCCTTCCTCCCAGCCCCATCCTCATCACCTGTACCTGTTTTCCCCCCAGGTGCTGCCCAGCCCCATCATCAGCTCCAACGGGCCCGGGGAGGACAAGCTGTTCCGCAGCCAGAGCGCGGATGTGGAGATCAGCACCGAGAAGGAGAGGCTGAAGAAGATGCTCTCCGAGGGGTGAGGCTGCTCTGAGCCCCAAACTCTCCCTTCTGGCAGGGCTGGGTGCTCGGTTTTGTCATCCCAAATTATTCTGATCCATTCTGCACTTTTCATTCTCTCTGTCTGCTGCCCAAAGCCTTGGCTGGATTCACAGAATCACAGATTTGTAGAATCCCAGAATCCCAGATTCACAGAATCAATCACAGATTCTCAGAATCACAGAATCATTCACAGAATCACAAAATCCATCACAGAATCAATCACAGAATCCCAGAATCAATGACAGAATCANCCTCTGAGTTTCCCTCAGCTGCCCAGGGTTTCCCTGTGGCTCAGAGGATCTGTGATTATTGCACAATGATAATTATTACATAACAATCTCTGTTCCTGGCAGAGCCCCTGCAGGGCTGGCTGGCACCTGACAGGACAGAGGGAAGGGAGCAAGGCAGGAAATTGCTGCACTTCCCCTTCCCTCAGCTGCCCTCACACCAAATCACCGAGACCAGAATCACACCCGGCTCTGAAACGTGTGACTGCGCTGCACCAGGCTCTCGCCTCCTGTTTATTTCCCAAAATAATCCATTTGCATCAGCCCAGCCCCTCCCATCCCCGCTCTGTGTAGAATGAGGTTATTAGTCCCTCACACGTGTGCGGTTCTTCTCTCTAATGGGGTCAGTGGGCTCCAACTGGGTCGGGGATGAAGTCAGGAATGTCTTCCTCAGGTCTCTGTGACCCTCTGTTCCCTGCTTTGTGATGGATTAACAGAGTCCAGTGCTGGGCACTGCTCTGCTGCTCCCAGTAATTCCTGTAATGCTTCCCTTGCTCCACTTCCTTCTACAGATGAGCTCATAATAGAGCAATTAGCTCAAATTGTTATTTCTACAGCAGATTTAAGCATCTAATAATCACCAACCTATCACTGGCGTATCTAACTTCAGTGGGAATTGGTTCTGACCCTCAGCTGAAATNTGGAGATGGTGGGAAGGGGCTGGCATGGGATTCCCAGAGCAGCTGGGGCTGCCCCTGGAGCCTGCAGGTGCCCAAGGCTGGGCAAGGGAAGGTCCAGAGGAACCTTGGAGCTGATCCCAGAGCCTGGAAGGGCTCCAGGAGAGCTGGAGGGGACATGGAGGGACAGGGACACGGGGATGGGGACAGGATGGACAGGGACAGGATGGCCAGGGGCACAGGGATGGGGACAGGATGGACAGGGAGACAGGGATGGGATCTGGATGGACAGGGACAGGATGGACAGGGACAGGATGGACAGGGAGACAGGAACAGGGTCTGGATCCAGCCCCATGGAGGGACAGGGACACGCGGACAGGATGGACAAGGACACAAGGATAGGGATCCTGGATGGACAGGGACAGGATCCTGGACAGGCAGGGACACAGGGACAGGATCTTGGATGGACAGGGACACAGGGATAGGGTCTGAATACAGCCCCATGGAGGGACAGGGACACAGGGACAGGGCTCCAGCATACACAGGGACAGGATGGACAGGGACACAGGGACAGGATTCTGGATGGACAGGGACACGGGGACAGGATGGACAGGGACACAGGGACAGGATGGACAGGGACAGGATTCTGGATGGACAGGGACACAGGGACAGGCTCCAGGCCGGACAGGGGCCCAGGAACAGCTGCTGTGCCCGAGCAGTGACTCCCAGGAGGGATTTCCATCAGCAGCAGCAGCAGCACGTGGGCTTGGCCGGGAGCCCCGGAGGCTCCTGTGGCCCCTTCCCCGCTGCCAGGGGGGTTTGCTCCGGGCTCAGCTCACCCAAATGTCCCCCACAACAGGGGATGAACCGTGTTCAGTGCTGAGGAACCACTGCGAACGAGCAGCTCTGTGAACCTGGGGGCTCCCTGTGGGTGCCTGGCCGTGTGGGCAATAACAAACCACAAATAACTTTGGGTTTTTCCCTTGCCAGGGAATGAATCCCTGTGGAGGCCGCGCTGGGAAGGAGCCCCAGAGCAGCTGAGAGAGCCCCGAGGAGCAGCTGCCGGAGGAGGGGACGCCCCACTAACTGCACCGGCCTCCCGCCCCTACTAACCAATGTCAGCAACCCGGTAAATCCTGCCTGGGCCCTGCCCAAAACCAGCCCGGCATTCGGGGCTCTGGGGGCAGAAATACCCATTTTTCTGTGTGCCAAAGATAGGTCGCGATCCACGTGGAAACAGAGCCTGGGAAATTGGAATCTCACTCCAGAAATGCCGGCAGAGAGGGAGGGGAGGGGGAGAAACCTGAGCCAGGGCTGGGAGGAAATCAAATATTCCCTGCTGAGCTCGGGGAGGCCCCGGGGGTGTTGGGATTGATGGGACAGGCTGCTGGGAGCCCCTGGGTGGGCAGGGAGCAGCGGCATTTGCTGTNGCCATCTGTCCCTCCTGGCCCTGTGTCACCGTGTCCCCAGCTCTCCTCACCCTGCCCTGCTGGGGCCCTGCTGCTCTGCCCAGACCCACAGCTGAGGGCACAGATACAGATAATAAATCACAGATAACAAATCACAGATCACAGATAAATGAGAAATCACAGATAACAGATCACAGATGACAGATAATAAATCACAGATAACAAATCAGAATTCACAGATCACAGATAAAAAATCACAGATCACAAATAAGAAATGACAGATAACAAACATTCCTTGGGACCTTCCCTGGATCCCTGGATCCTCCCCAGACATCCGCTAAAAGAAAGGATGCTTTTAAATGATAATCACTAAATTATGGGGCTCTTTTACAGGATATCCACTAAAAGAAGGGGTGCTTTTAATGGATATTTACTAAATTAAGGGGTTCTTTTAAAGGATATTCACTAAATTCAGGGATGCTTTTAATGGATATTCACTAAAAGAAGGCATTCTTTCAGTGGATATCCGCTAAAAGAAGTTGCAGCAATTCACAACTCCCCACTTCTTTACCCTTAAAATAAAATGCAAGGCTAAACATTCCAGCTCAGAACGTGTTAAAAACGCAGCATTTAACCCCTTCCTGCCGTGGCCATCCCCTCACTCAGTGGCTGTCCCCTCATTCAGTGGATATTCACTGGTCACTTTTAATCTCCCAGGGCTGTTGGGTTGTGCCCTTCCCCCTGAGCAGGGGAGGGCCCTGGATCCCCTCCAGTGCCACCGGATCTGTGTCCTCCCAGCCTTTGCTCTGCTCCTCCTCCCTTATCTGCCAAGGCCAGCCCCAGTGCCAGGGTTTTATTTACACCGTTATTTATCCCTTTATTTACCCCGTTATTTATCCACCCTTCACTGTGGCCCTGAGCAGGAAAGGGGAGTCAGCATTTCAGGGAGGGGAACAGGAGTGGGGACCCCAGAGCTGCTTTGGAAAGCTTGCTGGTGTTTGGGGACAGCTCAGCTCTGGCTGTCACGCCCTGGGTGTCCCTGTGTCCCGTCCCTCTGTCCCGTCCCTCCGTCCTCACCTGCCCCTTCTGCTGTTTCAGGCTGGAGATGGTGGGAAGGGGCTGGCATGGGATTCCCAGAGCAGCTGGGGCTGCCCCTGGA